AGCCTAAGAACCTTATAATAAAATTCCAATCTACTTTAACATTGCCATGCCTGTTGTTGTATGATTACATCGGCTGTATATTATTTATCTTTATTATACCATCTCAATGGGCACAAAACAAGGGGAAGTAGTTCAGTGGTAGAATGTTTGCTTTGCACGCAAGAGGTCCGGGGTTCGGTTCCCCGCTTCTCCATCCTTTTTTATAAACGTAAATCAAACACACAAAAAGTATAAAAAGCTTAGATAACAATGTCTCTCACGATGTTTAGAACGTTTACAATGGTTTAATACATCGTAATCCATTACAAGTAATGTTACATCATTAACAGCTACCTTACCCCTGATAAACACGTGTATACGTTCTTATAAACTAAATTAATTTATTAAAAGGTTATTCTCCTTTCTTACCCTATTATTTCCAACATTCATTACACCTACTCAACATTACTTACCTTTTAACATCATCCTATTCAACATAACTCTGTTTAACACCATTCATCTATCTTCCTATTCATCATCTCATCCATTCTACTATTCAACATTCTAATCATTTAATTCTCACTCATCTTATCCTCCATCCTCTCACTCATCTTATCCTCCATCCTCTCACTCATCTTATCCTACTATTCATCATCCTTTCAATCACCTAATCCTCCATCCTCTCACTCATCCTAATCCCCTCCATCCATCACCTAATCATTCCCCCACCATCAATCACCTAATCCATCAATTTAAATTAACATAACCACACCCACCAACAAAAACCAACACACTCACAACCACACACGCTCAAAATACGTATCCTCAACCTCCCACCAATCCATTGTATCATAGTACGCCATTCTCATTCCATCCATCCTCTTCAGCTCATCAATCATCACTGCCCTGTGCGTGTTCATCCGTTCCAAAACACGTACCATTAAGAACCTGTTAGTGCCTATCAAATCGTTAAGCACCACTTCTTCAGAGTTGAACTTCATTTTTATTACGTGGTGGTTGTACGAGCAGCGGTTGTTGGTGGCATGTCCAGCTGATTGGCAGGTTGGGGATGCATTGAAGGGCTGGCATGTTCTGTTGGGCTGTTGATTGCAGATATTTCTTTTATTTGTGCATTTTTGTTTATCAATGTTAGTGTTCCTTTTGTTAGCAGCCGTATTAAGTTGTTCTACCCTTTTAAATGCGTTAATTCTTACCTTATCAGACGTATTACGCCGTTCTTCCTCATTCAACGTATTAACCCCCTCAACAATCTCTTCATCTCCCATATTATAACCCACCTTATCATCATTCATCCTATCACCCTCCTCAACAATCTCTTCGTCCATCCCTTCATCAACCCCCACAACAATAATGTCACCCTCCCCTCCCCCAACAACCCCCTCAACAACCCCTTCATCACCCTCATCACCCCCACCATCCTCAACAATAACATCACCACCACACCCCCACTCCAACCATCCCCTATACATCACCCCACCACCCACAACACCAACCTCCACTCTCCCCCCATCCACATCCCCAACCTCAACATAAACCTCTCCCTCAACAACCCTCCGCACACAACCCACCCAAACATATCCGTAAAACAACGTTCTAAACAAAAAAGCAACAATCCTACACCTCGGCATCATCCGCACGCTAAACACCTGCGGATACTTCAGCTTGTAATACATCCCCTCGTTCTGTGCCATAAGCAGGGCATGCCAGTACGTTTTGGTGTGTGCGTTGAGGTAATGCAGTGCTGAGTAGTTCGTAATGTCCCGTTTTATACAGAATGTGGCGAAGTGTTGGGTGTTGTTCGTTGATAATAGAAACTTCCAGCAATGGAAGTTTCTGCTGTCGTGTATTAGTAGCTGCTTTATTAGCATTTTGTTGCGCTGTGATTGTTGTGTTGATGGTTGATTTAATAACGGGCCCTGTTTTATGGTTGATAGGTTGGTGTTATCGTACTGTTGTATTTTTTGTTGTACTGTATGGTTGTATTGCCCGCATTCCTGTGCGTTTAAAATGTTATTATTATTAATATTGTCATTATTATTGATATTGTTATTATTATTTATATTATTGTTATTATTGATATTGTTGTTATTATTATTTATATTATTGTTAACGTTATTGTTATGTACCTTAGTATTGTTGTTAACCTCAACGTTATTCTTATTAACGTTAACTTCAACGTTGTTATTAATTCTATCAACTTCATCACAACTTTTCTCTTCACCATAACTTTTCTCTTCATCCCTCCCTAACCTTCCATCAAAACTTTTCTCTTCATCATATTTTTTCTCTTCACCATAACTTCTCTCTTCATCTCCCCTCATCACCCACTCCCTATAATACCACGCACTATAACTCTTAACATTCATCCCAATCATCCTCTCACTCACACCAACCATACCATCACGACCAACCCGTTTCAACTCATTAACCACAGCATAATCATCAGGCACGAGCAATGCAAGACGTATCAGCTCATCTTTAGATGAATGGTTTGCTTTTAAACTGAGCAGTGCTTCTAAGTCATTGTTTTCGGTGTGGTTTTTTGATTGTGTGTTGTGAATTATCATATTGCTGGGGTAATTAGTATGTGTTTAAGGTTGATGATGTTTTGGTTTGTAGTTGTTTTTGTTGTTGCTGAACGTAGTACCTTCTCATGTCAACATTAGATAAAGTATCCTCTTTAAGTTACAATCATCATTTTTGGTTTTGTAGTTGTTTTTATCATCATTTTTAGTTTTGTAGTTGTTTTTATTATCATTTTGTATTTTATGAGCAACGATTTATTGCTTATGTTAAGGTTTTGGTTTGTTATTGAATAGATGATCATGTTCTATTAATACTGGTAAAGTATATGATTAATAGAGATGGTCTTAAAGAAAGAGTAAAATATTAGCACTAGTAAATGATATGATTAATAGAGATGTTCCTAAAGGTAACGTAGTACTGACAGTTTAAGTAAAATTATATTTTAATATTATTCTATAATTAAATTGTTATGTTTTTAATATTATTCTATAATATTAAACTATAAATGATATAATCACCTATTCTATTAATCATACTCTTTACATAACAATTTAATTATAGAATCTTTATTCTAATACATTAAAATATTTAAAATATGTTATTAGTAATAAAGATAGTCTCTTATAACAAATAAGTCTTATATTAACAATATTTACTTTTATAAATAACAATTTAATTATAATCCTCTATTTTAACACCTATTCCTGATACCAGTACATACCATTCAACACATTAGCTACAACCATTCAAACAATCTACCATACGTACTAATGCAGAATGTTTATAAGAAACATACTTAAATAATTAAACACAATCCTTTTTAATAAACTACAACCATTAATTGTACATTTTTACTTAACATTTAAATTAAATTAATTCGTATTTTCATTCGTTTATATTAATAACAAGACAAAGATTATTATCTTATACATCATTAACTATAAAACTAAATATCATTATCTTTATATGAGTGTTTAACGTTATTTTAGATTGAGAGAGTTGGTGTTTATTAGTATTTATTTAAATGGCACTCATCTATAACTATCATTCTTAATATTTATTTAGATGGCAGTCATCTATACCAATCATACTTAATACTTATTTAGATAAACTACATTACATTAACATTCTTATGAACATCTTTCATCTTAAAATTAACATTTATATTCTACCATTCACCAACAAAATCATCTTCTACAAAATCTTACAGAGCATAGAATCACACTTCAAACACTTACATTAATATCATGAGATGTAAATCTTCATCTATTCCGTTTGATTATTCTCGTATCATCAGTTCTAATTCCATACCAAACAATTAATTTAGATTTAATTAAACCACTTTGTTATTAATACGATAGTTACAGCAAAAACATCTTAAGATAAATCATTGTTTTAGTATTAATTCTTTAGTTTTACGTGGTATAAAGAATAACAGATAGTAATTAGAGAAGAATGTAATTAAATGTTAAGGAGTGTTATGTATAATAAAATATCTTTGTACTGTAATAGAGTAACTGTAATAGAACATTATCATTGTGTATAGTAGAACATTATCATTATATAATATTCTTTTAAACAATGATAGATATTCCTCTTTTATTTAATTATTGCTATGAAATACGTAATTAGAAAGAAACAATAAATTAATACAAAAGAAGAAAGAATGGATAATAAGGATTAGAGAATAAGGAATAGAGAATAGAGAATAAGGAATAGATTAATAATTAATAAGTAGAGAATAAAAAGTAGAGAATAAGGAATAGAAAATAAACAATTAATAAATAGAGAATAAGGAGTAGGGAATAGAAAATAAACAATTAATAAATAGAGAATAAGGAGTAGGGAATAGAGAATAAACAATTAATAAAGAATGGATTAACAATTATTAAACAATTATTAAACAATTATTAAACAATTATTAAACAATTAATAAATAAGGAATAATAAAAACATTTACTTATAATTACCTATTCGTAATAAAAACATTTCTAATATCGTTTAAAATGTCAACCCTGTTAATTACGTACAACAATCCACCCCCTCAATGTTACCACAGATTTTAAACTTTGTATGTGCTTATTTAGCAGCATATGGCCTGTTTAGATCGTTACCATCTATGGATGACGAGATTAAGAATGATGTTAAGTGTTGTGATGGGATGTATGAGGAGGATGGTAATGGTGTACGTTTTAAGGAGAGTAGTGATGTTAAGTATTGTGATGAGGTAGTTAGTGATATGAAAGTTGGTGATGTTAAGTGCTGTGATACTACCTCTAAAGATGTCCCTAAAGATATCATTCATAAAGGTACCTCTAAAGGCATCCCTAAAGATATCATCCCTAAGAATACCAAAAAGTATAAAAAATGCAAATTTATAATTTTAGATGGTCTGCGTTACGATGCCACAGTACCTACACGTAAATGTGGTCTATACTACAACAATATGCCCGTCTTTACAACGATGTTCCATAGAGCAATACTGCTAGGCATAGATGATAGGAACGTTGTTGAAAGTATGCGGTGCTGTTTTCTGTTAAGTGATGCTTTTATGGTGATGGTTGAGTATGAAATGATGAGAATTGTTGATAAGAGGTGTGAGCAATGTGCAGCAGCAAGGATTAGCAGGGGTAGTAGGGATGGTAGTAGGAAGGGTAGGGGAGTAGA